GTGGAACCTGGAGAAGAGTCACTGAAATGGATGTACAGAAAAGTGGGAAGACGTGGAGTGACATCAAGCGACTAGCCCAGGATAGGGAAAGGTGGAGAGTGTTTGTTCGTGGCCTATATCCTTAACCAGGGTGAGAAAGGCAATGATGATGATGATTATGATGTTTGGTGAAAAAGGGGAGGGGTGTTCATCAGCGATATCTGTGTGGAGAGAGGCTGGTTATTTTTTGTTCCACCGAGTGTCTCCGTCTGTCTGCAGACACGTTGTGTCCCCATCAAATCCATTTTGGCTCTGGCAGGGTAGAAGCAGTCCGCCACCGAAATATTCTAAATTGCGTTTCCGTGTCGACCCGGGCCGCGAGCAGTACAGCACCCCAGCAGACAAACAGAAGGTATCAGTTTTTTGTGGGGGGTTTTGTTTAAGTCGTATTTCCCTGGAATCGAACTCGCGTCTTCTGCGTGCAGCGGCGAAGAGTGTCACAGTATACGCTACACGCCAGATGCCGGTAGTCACAGTCAAAGGGTTATGCCAGTGATGTACGTTGCGAGTCACTAGCATCTGATAGCGATGCCAAGAGACGTGTGATATATTTTTGGAGATTAAGTTACCATAAATAAGGTGCATGGACGTCATAAGCCCTGCGTTTTTGGAACTTAATGTGGGAGGAAAAAAACTTTGACGATCGAGACAGTGTCGATGGCAGCTGGCTATCTTATCATTTCAATTTTTTTATCTGACGTTTTTGGCCGTTTTGAGTTATGAAGACCATGAGGTCAGAAATCAAATATTCTGTCTGCTCTATTAAAATTGAAGGTTTTTCCCAGCGTCGTTATCAATATAGTCAAAGAATTGCTATTTTAAAAGAAGCGTGACATGTTGTGAAACTCCAAAAAATTCTAATGTCAAATGTATCAAAACTAGATACTCAGCAGATAGAACTTGTTTACTTCTAGGATAGCAAGCTAGTTATTGATTGTTTTCAATTAAAGTTATGCTTGGAAACTATTACTGCGGCGTAGCGGTTATGCTCTTCGCCTTTGATGTAAAAACGTTGATTTCTGGAGTGAGAAAGCGTTTTTTCGAGTGCCTCTGCCTGTCAGCTGGAATGCTGTTTCTCACTCAGCCTGGGTCGGCCCTGACAGGCAAGCTCGAAGCAGCCTGCCTCCTGATTGATGTTAATTTTTTCGATCGCGCAAAACACTTACAGTTGCAATTATGGGAGTGGCTCAATGTCGGAGGACATTTTTTTATTCATTCCGGGAATTCGGGGGCGGGGGATTTCCTGTGTTTGATACTTATTGAATAATGTTTCCCGTTGCTATTTAGATGTAATGCTTAAACCGAAAAGCATGGAAGGTTTTGTTTTTACTTTGTTGCTAATATCCGGTTATTTCATTGGGGGATTTATTTTTTAAAAAAGGTCACGTTGCTTTCAATTTCAGCTGCTCTCTGTTCCGATTGTGACAGACAGAGTGAGAAGGAAAATGGAGATGTGTGTGTGTGTGTGTGTGTGTGTGTGTGTGTGTGTGTGTGTGTGTGTGTGCGTGCGTGCGCGCGGGCGCGTGCTACTCTTGATGCAACCTTACTGGACTCAAAGCTATGCGACCGCCGTATTTCTAGTTCAAACCTTTCCTGACTTTTTACGAAATTTTTAAACTTCACCCTGATGGGAATACAGACCTCGCTAAAGACGACAAAAGGTCTCGTCATTGTGTTAGTGTGCGAGCGATTAATCGGCTGCTTGCAGTGTATGCTTCCCAGGATGTTGCGGAGTGTTCTGAGGTGTGCCGGGGTAATAATATAGGTTGTAAAACACCCTAAGCTTGTTGTAAAGCTGGACTATGCGCAATACAAATGTTATGTATTATTAATGAAGGTATTTGTTTGTGTGTGTGCAGGTGTGGAGCATGGACAACATGATCTGTACCCAGACCCTGGTCCGTCACCAGGGCAGTGTAGCGTGCCTGGCCGTCAGTAGAGGAAGGATATTTTCCGGCGCTGTAGACAGTACAGTCAAGGTCAGTTGTTGCTCTTGTTTTTGTGTGTGTGTGTGTGTGTGTGTGTGTGTGTGTGTAATTGTGTGTGTGTGTTTTTTCGTGTGTGTCTGTGTTTGTATGTGTGTTTGTGTTTGTTTATTTGTTTTATTTTTTCTCTGTTTGCGTTTGTCTGGTCAGTGGGACGTGTCTGGTCGTGAGTAGATGCAGGAACTTCAAGAGATAGCTGTAGACCGTACGGTCACGGTCTGTTGTTGCTCTTTGTCTGTGTGTGTGTCTGTCTGTCTGTCTGTCTTTGTGTGTTTGTGTGTCTGTGCATGTTTATGTGTGTGTTTGTCTGGACCGCCCTCCTGACAATGTGGCGTGTCCAGCCGTCAGAAGAGGCGGGGGTTTCTCCCCGATCTCTGGCGCTGTAGACATCACGGTCAATGTAGCGCGCTGCTTTTGTTTAGTTCCTGTGGGTAGATAGATAGATAATTTATATACATGCATATAGATATAGATAGATAGATCGATAGATATAGATAGA